ACAAATTAGGTATTGATGGAATAAAAAGGATACTGAGGGTCCCCATAGGTTATTGTATCATCAACATCTACATTCAGATCTTCATCTTCAGCTGTCTGTCTAACAGAATCTCCATGCAGAGCTGTTAAAACATAAAGGAAATTAAAGAATTACAATTTCACATAAACACTGATTTCTTGGAATGGCCATCATAAAAATATACTCAGTTCCTTTCACACAAATTAAAAAATTACTTAAAATTCATTTTAAAGAACAAAAGATGATTTAAATGGAATTCAAATTTTACACAATCATTGATCACTTGAAATCAGGGTTGAAGTTTTAGATGTCTTAAGCAAAATTTGGACAAGACTTATGGGTGTTCAAAACTGTCTTAGAATGTCCTAAACCTTGAACGTTGGAAAAAGGTAAAAATTCTATATGAATAACTATTGTACACATAATTACATAGATTAATAAATATTTGAAACTTTTTATACAATTTGCTGTGACTTATTAATGGAAAATAATATAATAAGAAAAGATTTATAACTTATGAAGCTTCACAATTCATTGAATAACAAAAGTGAATACCTTTAAATATGAATAAATATGCTTTTAATACTGATAAATTATGCTTTTGCATAAGGATAAATAATGCTATATTAAAAACAATAATAAACTTTTTTAATAAAACAAAAACTTTTCTTCATTCTGTTTTTTGTTCAAAAATTAACCTTTCATTTTTCGCAATAGCTTTTTTTAAAATTGTGACTAAATGGTTTCAGACAGGACGGTTTAAAATGTGAATTAATGTATTCTGTCTGCCCTAAATCTTGCCAACTCCGCTTGAAATTGTCACTAATAGACATAAAAAAAGGGCTAATGATTATTTTAGAAATGAATAATTAAATTTAATTAATCAGATAAATTTTATAAAGGCAATTATAATAAAAAATATTATTTAAAATCATTTTGAACAATATTATTGCACAAAAATCTATTTTATCGCACATAATATATATGTACAAATGCATCATAATTAACTACTGAAAAAATAAAAAATAACAAATGAATCAATGCAATAATTTCATGGTCATTAAGTTATTTTTTAATTTTTGGAAATGACTAAATAGAGACTCCCTTACCTTTTATACTTTTAACTTTTATTAAAGGTTTACAAATATACAGGGGTGATTGTGAACCTAACTCAAAAATCCTGAAATTTTCTTGAGTAAAATCATTAATAACCCATTTCAAAAAATTAATGTCTTTATAAATTTAAACCATTGATATCTTCAAAACATGAAATTCTAAATAAATTATATACAGCATAATTTAAATGAAGAATTATGTATAAGTTTACTTTTATCTCTAATCATATTTATTACTCTTCGAGAAAATATATTTATAAATGAAAGAAATGCCAAGCATAAATTCTAGTACAAATATTTTTAAATAAAATATACAAGAATTTTTAGACATTAATGTGGTCAATGATTTCTTGAAACTTCTGGGCCTTGGATTTCCAGAAACCTCCGGATCGCGGTTAGCGAAAAATCTGGAAATCCAGAGCACATTCATCTCTGAATATAAAGTAATACATTTTTCTTCTTAAAAAATCACACTTTAAACAAAGATAATTTTATGATATANGTCATTAAGTTATTTTTTAATTTTTGGAAATGTCTAAATAGAGACTCCCTTACCTTTTATAGTTTTATTAAAGGTTTACAAATATACAGGGGTGATTGTGAACCTAATTTAAAAATCCTGAAATTTTCTTGAGTAAAATCATTAATAACCCATTTCAAAAAATTAATGTCTTTCAAAAAATTAATGTCTATTTTTTTTGTAAAAAAATTTGATTCAAACTAATGATTTTTAAAAATATTAGTTGATTTTAATTGATTTAACTCATTTTTGGAGAAAGGGGCACAAACACACCATTTAAATAAAAAAAAATTTATTAACACTGTGATGTATATTTGTCAAGGGTTCTTAAGACACCCCAAAAATTAATAGTAATTCAATTGGAGTAAACACTTTCTATTGAGAAATTTTAAAACTACCAAAGTTTTTCAACTTAAAATGGTTATTGACAAATGAAATTTTTTGAAAATGTATAATTAGTCCTTTTGAGATTTATCATTAGGTTCTTATGATGGATTAAAGTTGCAAGTCAGGAAATGAAAAAATTCCATAGAAAAAGCAAGTGTTTAACTAAATGGTTTGTTCACTAATTTGGTGAATGGTGCCTATACGCCCCATTTTATTTCTTAAATAAAATAACATTTTTCATGCATGAAACTTTTTTGTGTGTCTTAATGAATGTAATATAAGCATATTTAAATGAAAATAACACCACATTTTATAAAATAATAAAATACAGATTAATCAAAAGAAAATGCATGTTTATACGTTTTATAGAGAAAAAAAAACAGGAAGTAATTCTTACATCTATATCCTCCAGGAACTAAACTAATAGGTCATATTCCAGTCTCATCACCCATTTCATATTCTTCAAAGCTGTCAGTATCATCGACATTAACATCAGAATCTCCGTCCTTCAAAAAAGAAGAAGATTTAGTTAAATCTATAGTCTGTCAACAACTACAAAAATACAATTACAATTCATTAGTATAAAACAAGTTAACTCAATTCCACACTGGTATAAGAAATTAAGGGAATTTGCAAACTTGGTCGATTATCTCTATAACTACAGGAGACCGATTTCAATAAAATTTGATATGTACATACATTGATACAATACAAAACAACCATTTCACAATTGTAATTGCACATGCATGATCGTGCGAAACACTCGTTGGAGTCAGAAGATATTAAATAGCGGTTGCTGAATAAACAAAACAAAAAAGTTAATTAGGGGGTATGGTCCTCTCTCACAGATATACAGGCCTTGCAGCGTGATTTCATATGTGAAATAAGGCACATTATCATTTCCTGTGGAAATTGGCCAGAATTGTCCAGCGGCAATTTAATACTCCAACGAGTGTTACATGCATGTGTATTACAATTGTTGAATGGTTACTTGTTTTGTATTGTATCAATATATGTACATATCAAATGTCATTAAAATCAGTCCAGTATTTCAAGAGATAATGATCAAGTCTGCAAATTGTCTCAATTTCTGGTACCTTTAGATTGATGAAAGATGGCACGGTCGATAATACTTGCCCTACTTTTGAGATGCCATCTGCACACACCTATTTTGATTTGAATGCGCCTTCTTCAGCAGATAGTAAACATCAAACAGTTCTCTTGCTATTTGTGACTGCATAATTGCCCTCATCACGCAACGTGTCTGCTTACATACACTCAACTGCTTTCTGCAACACAAGAGCAGCTGCCAACTTAATACAGCTCTCACGATCAGCACTCAAAGCCTGGTGATCTTAATACAGCTCTCCCGGCTTAGCATGGAGCAGCAATAAATCAAGTGGTGGTATCCCTCATTGAATTCTATCACAGATAAAAATTTTGATGAGAAAGTACTGTAGTGTGTCTACCACTACAAAAATACAACTCCAACTCATCTTTCTATAAGTCATATTAACTCTATTCTATGTTGGGATACCTTAAGATAGATGGCATAATTGATAACACCTTTCCTACAAATCTATAAACAATTTTATATTTACCTAATCATTTTTTAAGGTACAGGACAAAAGCAGATACTAGAATGTCAACTGTAAAGGTTTTTGATATTCCAAGTCATAGTAAAGATGAAAATAAAAACTTTTGAACACATTTATCTTTTCCACAAATAAAATAAAATAGTTTTAACTTGCTAAAAACTTTTTCTTTTCTTGGAAAAGAAATTATCTGGAAATTAACATGTTTGCCTAAAAATAAAAGAATAATATGGTAAGCTCGTAAAAATCTTCATATGACGCGTAATCACTAGTTTTATTATTTTTTCCTCTTCATATTGCAGTGATATCAAATACTAAAAACCTTTTCGAACTTGAGTGAACATTCAATATGTTATTCTTTAGGGAAAAAATCCTGTCACAAGATATCAAACATCAAAAAGTAGCAATGAAAAATATTACACGTAACGATAATTAATAAACATGATATTGTGAGTGTTGATGAATTTTATTTGAACAACGAAAAAATTGACAGATGCAAGAATAAGATATTCGGAACACCATGAAATTGGGGTGAGGGGATACATTCCATTTTAAAAATAAGATTTTTCGGTGACCTAAATCCATGACTTTTCATGATTTTTTTTTAAAAAAAAGTAAAAATTATGACATTTGATGACAAATTTTGTTCCAATACCGGGTGTACTTTCCAGGTGTGCGGATACCCTGAATTCAATAAAATACAGATTAATCAAAAGAAAATGTATGTTTATACGTTTTATAGAGAAAAAAAAACAGGAAGTAATTCTTACATCTATATCCTCCAGGAACTAAACTAATAGGTCGTATTCCAGTCTCATCACCCATTTCATATTTTTCAAAGCTGTCAGTATCATCGACATTAACATCAGAATCTTCGTCCTTCAAAAAAGAAGAAGATTTAGTTAAATCTATAGTCTGTCTACAACTACAAAAATACAATTATAATTCATTAGTATAAAACAAGTTAACTCAATTCCACACTGGTGTAAGAAATTAAGAGAATTTGCTACATTATTACAGGAGACCGATTTCAATAAAATTTGATATGTACATACATTGATACAATACAAAACAACCATTTCACAATTGTAATGCACAGCCATGATCGTGCGAAACACTCGTTGGAGCCAGAAGATATTAAATAGCGGTAGCTGAATAAACAAAAAAAAAAGTTAATAGGGGGTCCTCTCTCACAGATATACAGGGCTTGCAGCGTGATTTCATATGTGAAATAAGGCACATTATCATTTCCTGAGGCAATTGGCCAGAATTGTCCAGCGGCAATTTAATACTCCAACGAGTGTTACGCACGATCATGCATGTGTATTACAATTGTTGAATGGTTACTTGTTTTGTATTGTATCAATATATGTACATATCAAATGTCATTAAAATCAGTCCAGTATTTCTAGAGATAATGATCAAGTCTGCAAATTGTCTCAATTTCTGTTACCTTTAGATTGATGAAAGATGGCACGGTCGATAATACTTGCCATACTTTTGAGATGCCATCTGTACACACCTATTTTGATTTGAATGCGCCTTCTTCGGCAGATAGTAAACATCAAACGGTTCTCTTGCTTTTTGTGACTGCATAATTGCCCTCATCACGCAACGTGTCGGCTTACATACACTCAACTGCTTTTTGCAACACAAGAGCAGCTGCAAACTTAATACAGCTCTCCCGGCTTAGCATGAAGCAGCAATAAATCAACTGGTGGTATCCCTCATTGAATTCTATCACAGATAAAAATTTTGATGGGAAAGTACTGTAGTGTGTCTACCACTACAAAAATACAACTCCAACTCACCAGTCATATTAACTCTATTCTATGTTGGGATACCTTAAGATTGATGGCATAATTAATAAAACCTTTCCTACAAATCTATAAACAATTTTATATTTACCTAATCATTTTTTAAGGTACAGGACAAAAGCAGATACTACAACTGTAAAAGTTTTTGATATTCCAAGTCATAGTAAAGATGAAAATAAAAACTTTTGAACACAATTTATCTTTTCCACAAATAAAATAGTTTTAACTTGCTAAAAGCTTTTTCTTTTCTTGGAAAAGAAATTATC